CCGAGGGTTCAAAGAAACCAAATCTGAAAACAAACAAACTCCAAAGTATTAATATTGAAAGTCCCAAGCATTCTTTTTAAATATTAAAATATAAATAAGGTTATTCAGTTAGTTTTTTCTTTTTACAACGTTGTCGATATTATCATTATTATTGTTGTAATCACTTAAAAATTCACTAAACAGTCTGGGAGAATGAAAAAAAAAAAAAAAAAAATCACATCAAAGGTTTCGTATTGTTTTAACCGAAACACTAGTTCGTAAACAATGTATCAAACAGTAATAACAACGTCAAATCCAGCCTTTCGTTTGTCGATATAATTTAGGAAGACAATTTCTACGCGTTTTCCTGCCTGGATGATTCTCGCACGTCAGACTGTCTGAAACCATCTACTAAATTAGACACAAAACAAGTATTTTCATCTCGTTATCGTCCTTAGACGAAAATAAAACCGACGTCATAGGACTCGTTATTCTACCGTCCACTGCTGTTTACTAACCAGATAATCTTTCTTCACCTGTCTTGTTCCTTGCGACACGGTTTTACGTGATAATACCATTACCTTGATAAGGCAGCATATTATACGGTCGTAGATAATGTGCTTACAACATCACTAGAATAATCACGGAATCAAGACAGGTTATTTTTGTGAATTAGAGAGAATTAAAACATAATAATACACTTCTGAGACTACGAATACGTTCAGATTTATCCAGTTTAATATATCGTTAGTAACTTTCAGTTAGTCTTTCCAAATAAAGAAAAAAAGACCGTTTTAGACTTCACGTGTTTCTGAAATAATGTTTCTACAATAAATGGATTAGTCGAGCCAATACTCTCTCTCTCTCCCCGCTAATAATTCAAGGTTAAAAGGGTCTGGAAAACCTTTAAAAAATACGTTTGTGGAGGATAATAATAACGATCTTTCCACGCTGAACAAGCACGGTGAACTCTCTCCTTGTGTAGAAACTTTTCGTGGACAGGAGACAAGTTCAGAGACTGAATAACTTG